ATATATATATATATATGTATCAGCAATAACAATAAGAATTGCTATTATTGCTGTATAATATGTATGAAACCAGTTTAAGCGCTACCCTTGCAATCCAGAAGCAATCGTTGATCTCATGTCTCTAAGCCGGTTTGCCTGACACCAATCCACCCGTCCGAGGCGGAAGGGAGGGAAAGCACCCAAGTTCTTTCTCCCAGACCCGAAACCGGTTTAGGGTCTTCTTTCTCCCAAAACCGAAACCGGTTCTGTACCACCTTTCCGCCAGAGACCTGAACAAGCAAGGTGTGGTGCATTGAATCTCAAGCTTTGAGGTGTAGGACTGAACGGGTGTCGCTCTCAGGGATTAAGAATCTAAAGTTTGGGGGGGGGGGGGGGNNGGGGGCCTCATAAAATAGATACTTGCGGATCTCCGAACCCTGAATGAAAATAGCCCACGCCTCAAGACCTACATAGCCTCAATGCGAAGCCTTAAACCGGAAGCATTAAAGACCAAAGCGCAAGCTTCATCTCCCACAATGTATCTCTGCAACTTGGCATCCCGAGAAGGCCTGTAAAGGAACCCTCAAATGAAAGGAACTCCAAACTGAACTTCACAGGAGCCTTTTCGTACAGTCTCCATTGCAGCTCCTTTTTGGGTTACCTTATAATATCCTATAAATCTAAAGTATCGGTTTATAAAAAACTTACAATTCAGACTATAGGTAAGCCAGGTAAGCCCTGCAAGGAAGCGTTGAAAGAACTGAAGGAATTCTCAAACCACCTCTCGGGCAAACGCCCTACCAACCGGGCCAGCTCTTCTTGATACTCGGTGCCTGAACACGACCACTTGGAGTGGAGCAACATGGGACTAAGCGCGCGAGCCTCTATGAATCCTAAATTGGAGTCATATGATGTAAGCAAGTAGAAGCAGAGTCATCTTTGTTCAGAACGAAGTGACCCTTTCAGCATGGCTACGGCTGAGCCGTTTGGGCGTGTGAGACTTTGGGGGTTGCGGACTTGGCGAAGGAATAGGGTATTGGCATAGTATGGTGGTAGATACCTGGACGGGTGACGGCGATCAGGTTACGAAGAATTCAGACCTCTAGTGATGAGGAATCCGGATGGGGGTAATTTAAAACACAGGACTTCGAGTTAAGGGCTTGACAAAGGGTGCAAGGATTGCGGGTCACGTGTGTTGGGGTCTTTCCGATAACTACGCTTGGGTCGGCTCGAAGACTGCCTTGTTGTTTCGGGTTACAGTTTAGGGTTTAGGGTTGAAGGTCTTGTCCTTGATGGCTGAGGGTTCAGGGTTTGGGGTTGAGACTTCGTGTGGTGTCAGCTCCCTCGCAAGTTGGCGATTGAGTGCTTGACTGTTCAAGGGTGTTTGGCAGCAAAGCAGCCATGCTTGTTTATTAGAGGTGTGGGTTAGAACTTCACGGGTCAGATCTTGCACTCTTCAGGCTGCGAGGCTTGCAGTATGCTTGTTTGTACCGAACTTGGCTGGAAAGCTCAACAGCCCAAACAATGAACCGGACACCTCTCAAGACCTCAACACCCTGCAACGCTGTTAACCGCTGCCATTCGCACTACCAGCAAACCACTTAACGTTTGGGGAGGGTTTTGGTCATGCTTTAGGGTTTAGGCGTAGGAGATCTTAAAGGGATTTGGCCCTGAACCTTACTCCCTACGCCCTGTGCAGTGGATTTTTTCTGCCCTCGCCGGTGCACATGACACGGCGGCCAATCACCGCGGAAGCACGCTTTGAGGTGGCAGCACGAAAAAGAGCAATGCTTTGATACGGGGCATGCATATTTAGTGTATGGTTGTGGGGGGTCGGGGGGTGGGGGGGGCATTATCACATGATCATAATAGCGCCTATAAGGAGGCATAAGTGAGTGCTACTTCTTCCCGCCCCCCTTCTTTTCCCGTGCTGGGTTGAGGCTTTAGGAGGATTTTCGGCGTGGGGCTTGCGGTTCGATGCTTCGGGGATTTCGGGCAGCAAGTCTTGTTCCCTTTTGGGGCTATGTTAAAAATGAGATGTTTTACATCCTTGTTAGGTTTTACTACAACAAAACCGTAAACTTGTATCCAACAAGGACCCAGAAGTTCAAGGTTTAGGGTTGAGGGTTTTGGGTTTACCCTTCACTCTGAGCTTCGGAGCTCAAGCTGACAAGGACTTGCGATGAGCAGGTACGACAGCTTGTTTCCCTCCCTAAACCCTAAAGCCAAACCCTGAAGACTAACAAAAGCCGCTTTCAGAGAGCTATAACCCGTCCTTAAACTGCCATTTTCTCCTAAAGCCCTCGAGCCCTGTACCGTAATAACAAAAGCTGCCACGAAAAGGAAGCCCTGAAACCCTAAACCCCATGGACCCTCTCTATGAGGTTTAGGGTTTAGGGGTTTATAGGGATTAGGGATTAGGGGATAAGGATTTAGGTTTTAGGGACTGGTTGCACCCTCACGTTGTTGGGGTGTGTGGTCCCAAGTGCAGGGTAGTTATGGGCTAACAGAGGGCGCATGGAGGGTTCAGGTATCTGACAAGCCCGAACCGTCAAGCTGAACGCTTAACCCTAAACCCTGTATCTGTGCTGAAGCTTCCTCTTTTTCGTGCTAAAGCACGCAGAGGATGCTCTGTCTGGTCTCAATCTACCATAAGCCTTACAGGGTTTGTAAGCTTGGGCTTTGGTGTCTAAGGCTTGTGGTTTGGTGTTGGCTTGAACCTGGTATTGGAATACACTAAAGCGCTAAGAGGGTCCCTAAATAGTAGGGTACTCAGTATATAAAGGACCCCGAATATGCAGTACTCCTCAGTTTTGAAATGCCAACTCACCTCTCAATTCAACCAATAGCTGAACCCGAAACCGTTGCTTCCGGTGGTTTCGAACGCAGACTGCCACCTCTGAGGGAGGCTCAGGGAATCTACGAGGGCGGTGAGGACGACGGCTTCGAAGTACTTTGGAAAGGTCTTAGGGTTTAGGGGTCCATGAAGGGTTCCTTTAAGGGAGTCCTTTAAGGGAGTCCTTTAAGGAACCCTCGAGGGAGCCCTTCTAAGGATTTCTTCAAGCTCCGAAGCACCAGTGCTCTGGCCCAGGATTCCCTGAAGCTCTGACTCGCCGCCAAAAGCGCTGTCTTCGCCAACCGCGAAGTGCGAGTCTTCAAAACCGGGGAAACCCCTCTGCCATCCCACACCCCAACCTGAATACTAATTTTGTTTGCTGAACATTCTAGCCATATGACACTCTGCAAAACCCTATAATACCATGATCAAGAGCCGTATAAAACCATAGACACACCTATAAAACCAAAACAAAAAACTCTATAAAGCCGCATGATCAAACAAAGGTCAGCTCAAATTCTCCGTTTGCTGGCGGAGAGCCCGGGACTCGGCCAACAGCTCTTGGACAGTCCTCGGCTGACTTGACTTTCACAAGGATCCTCTAGATGCACATTAAAGATCAACAAATATAATCACATACATACATACATACATACATACATGCATACATACATGCATGCATACATGCACACATACATGCATACATACATGCATACATACATCCGTGCATCCATGCACACATACATACATACATACATACATACATACATACATACATACATACATACATATGCAATACAAACAGACAACAACATACATGTTTATGGTTGCATGCAGACGTACATACGTACAGGACAGATAGATAAATAGATAGATAGGTAGATAAATAGGTAGATACATAGACAGGCAGACAGATAGACATATATTGCAATTATGTACCTGCGTGTCTGTACTTCCTTATCTACACACACGCTAGAGGCTTTCGAGACATTCATATTTTTAAACGTTCAGCGGCTGAGCAAATGAAAACCAATCCATGCCCCTGTATTGAAGGGCTCGAGGGTGCGTCCTCTAGCTCCGCAGAGGTAAAGCTTGGGGTTCAGACCAAGCCAAATGGTAACTGTCTTTCAGGGCTTTTGGGCTCACCATAGGCTACTCAAAACCCCGAACCTATGATTTTCTAAAGTTCAGGTCAGGATCATTTCCCGAAGAAAGACGAGCCCTCGCGCCGCACGGATCAGTGGGGACGGGTGGTTGTGGAACCACTCGTAGCCTGAGTAGTTTGGAAGCCCAAAGCTCGCGTGTTTCTGGTGTGCTTTGAAGTAGCCACAGCCACACATGTTTCATAAGCTTAATTCGTAGGCGGCCATTCCCATTCTACTTCAAAAGCATGCTGCTACCCTTAAGCGTGCTGCTTCAGCATGTTCGGTTTGGCCGGCATATTAAAGGGTGCTGCTTAGATTAAAGGGATAGTGGGATTCATGACACATTTTTGCCAGGATTCTGCAGGGGCTCTCAGAGGGGAGATATTGTCCGATACTGTCAAATGAGAGACAAACACCGAGAAACTCAGTCACAGGGTTAACTAAATCATTGTGCAGCCTGGT